AACCCAGCAGAGCACTGGCCCCTGGATCAGATGATGTTAAAGAGAGAACATCATCCTCCAGCGGCTGTCTCTCGCCCGCTGCCGATGAGCGCAAGCGGGAAAGCCCCTCTTTAAACTCATCGGCCAGGTCCACCTGCGATCCCCACGAGCTCATTCCCTTCCGTGCCTCAGCAGCGGCGGGTCCTGAATCGCGGGAAGCAGATGGCTGCCCCTCTTTCCTCGAAAAGAGAGACAAACGAGAGCGGAGCTTTTTTTCCTTGGAAAAAACGCTCGCAGTGCACGCTGATTGCCCCTTCGGAGGCATCGCGTGCGTGCTCTTCGCCCAAACAAATAATGCATAGATCGTGTGTGTCATCAGATTTTAAACAACGTCAACACGGATGCACACATCCTTAAATGCTTTGCTAGTGCTCGCCATAATGAGATAAATAGAGATCGCTCTTACCACAGAAATGCACGCTTCAAACAAAACAGTCAATGAAGACGAAGAAGAGAATGATGTATGCTCCCGGCGCCTATTTATACTATTGTCGCACCGGTAGTGACGTCATGGCTGTCGCCGGCCAACGAGTTGGTGTTTTTTCAATGTATGCTTCAGACACGGGTCACGAGGAGACGTTCCCCATAGCGACCCCTAGAGGACGCAGTTCGAAGTTCCCATGAAAGGGAACACATGTTCCCCAATGTAATTATATTCTTAACATGCGTTTACAGTTGGGTTTAGCCCAGATAGCACACGTACGTCTGCAAGATGTCTGTTAAAGATCGCTTAATCTGGAAAGCATCTGCAGTGTACAAACATCTGATAGTCAGTTTTACATAGGGTGAATTAAGGGTGATTGGGACAGTTTTTGAATGTCCGCCTTGTGCAAGGTTTGATACATTTGATACACATGATACATTTCTGTAATACTGAATATATTAACTACCCATTTGAGGAGGAAACAATGTTATATTTTAATGAAAGGATGTGTGACATACACTTTGCTGTAAACTGAGCCCCAAAACATTTTTTTTGTTACATTCGGATGATTGGGACTCAACGTTTGGGTGATTGGGACAGCACATTTTTTTCATTGATTTAGGGTAGTGTAAGAATATTTACTGAATTGCACAAGTTAGTTCATACTTTGATATAATGTTATATGCAATAATTCCTTTTCTGTTCATCATCATTAAGAGGCCAATGTTTATTTCTCAGATCATAAATCCATCCACAATTCATACAATACAACACATGCAACTGAGGTAAAAGAAGGCTTGTAGTCCAAAAGTAATTGAAAACGTTTAAAAATCAAATAGACAAGTAAAAAAAAAAATGCTTCAGGTCCAAAAAAACAATTATGTTGAAGAAACAAACAAAAAAAATGCATTAACACATTTAACCTGCACAAACCTTTAACAGAAATATGAATATGGTTTATTACTGCAACAAAATCAGAAAAAAAAATCTATAATGCTTTATAGATTTATCTATAATGCTTTTATTTTCAGAATGCTTCTAATTCAGAATTTTTATTTTAGCAAAATCTAGCTAATTCGTAAATATTTTTCTGGTTAATTAGGTCTTGCACAAATAAAAAGGTTGGAAACCACTGATTTAGAGCATATAGAGCATATACAATGGTTCTCTATTACAAGGTCAATCTTTTTCTTAATTAGCAAAGCCTTTAAGCACTGTCCCAATCACCCAAAATTATGCTGTCCCATCCACCCAAATTGTGTTTGGGTGGATGGGACAAAATAAAAACAACCTAATTCTAAAAATAGAAAAACATGATATTAGCACATTTTTTACTGATTTTGTAGAAGTAGTGCATCATATTTATGTTTCCATCAAAAGTTTGTATAGTATAGTAGCTATGACAATTTTAGGACCTTATTATGAAAACTAGCAAAAGCTTATGTCATTTTCCTCAGTTCACGCATTTCACGGTCAACTTCCTGTTTGATGCCTGCCCCGCCCACCTATATGATGTCACACCAATGAGGGCATCCCATTTTAATTATGTGGTCTTACACCTAGGACTCAGCAAAAAAGTTTTTATTTTCACACATTAGGTGAATAAATTCTGTATAGTTATACTGTCCCATTTTACCTTATGTCCCAATCACCCTTAATTCACCCTACATTCTAAATCATAAACATCTTAAAGACATCTTCTAAACATCTATTTGACATCTGGTAGGAAATGTGTCATAGACGTATTGCAGATGACCTAAG